GGCGCCTGAGGGACAGTAGTGACTTGCTGCTGCGCAGCCGTAACTATTCCAAAGAAGGCATTGAAGCCACGACGAGGTGCAGCTGCTGTTGCGCGCTGTAACTGCTTGTACTTGCCTACTGAGAAACATCTCCTACTCTAGCATGCAGATACTACGAATGATTCTCTGATTGTTCTTCAGCAGAATAGTTTCTCCGTATACAACTCAGCAATAGGTCATTTCCAAATAAAACACGAGCACCCAAAACCGAAGCCTACTGAAGTTCGTCCACGAGAACTCAAACTAGAGAACAGTTTGGAGCCCAACGAGATTCAAAATGAGGGCTAAGGAGACAGCCGTCTCTCTCCTGTCATACCACAAGAAAAACCCGGTTTCTAGGTAGCAAGCGCCCTTCTGCTGGGCTGGGGGCCAGCAGAAGGGCGCTTGCTACCTAGAAACCGGGTTTTTCTTGTGGTTCGCCTTCCCCTTCCCCCCGTGCTATTGGCGTACGTCGGCATTGTTCTGCAGGTCTTCGAGGTGTGCAACCGGCGATTGGCTTGAGCAGCTCCACGTGAATACGCATTCGATGGTTCGCATTCCATTTTTCAATGTGCCTGACTCGAAGGCAGGTCAAGAAGTGTTGTCAGTTGCTGTTAAACTGCAGAAACTGCTCTTTATATGAATATGAAAGCAGCTTAATCGGGCGAGAGCAGCCCTTATTATCTGCCGAGTCTGAGAGGTTTGCATTTACTGTCCCGTTGGCTACTTCATAGATAGATATGTGTGCATATATCATTTAATGCATTAGACTATCACCTATAGACACTATAAACTCCAAATGAACAACAAAGGAATGTATAATGTATTAAGGGAACAAAAACGTATCTGATAATGCACTGGCTTTATTTAGCAAACCCTCAAGAAGCTCATGCCACGATGTCTGCGTTGTGAGCAGAGGGTATGCGCGGCTTACAATTGCCAGTCAAGAAAATGAGGTGTTGATACAACCCTAAACCATGAATCCTACACCCTAAACCCTTGAAAATGCAAGTTGTTCTCTTTCGTTTGCTTTTGTTCTTTAGAGAGAGGGCCCCCGAGGATTCATAAACCGAATCGTGCCCCTTCTACACCGAATTCGGCAGCAAAGGACAATTGATGGATGCCATTAGATAGGACACGCCGTTGCCTTGAGAACCACCCTGGCCTCCTCCTCTAAGACGCCAAATGTCCCCGTGCTTGAGAAAGCCAAGCGGCTATCCTAGCAGGTAGCCGGCCAGCCACCGAGCCAGATGGCTAGCTGCACAACAAAGCGAACTGGTTAGCCAGGATGATAGCCAGCTGCAGAGCAAGCTAAACGCCTAGCTAGCTATCTGCATGGCCCGACAGCTGGCTAGCCAGTTTTTTAGTGTTTAATCTGCTCGAGTCTAGTCGAAGGATACTGCTGCTGGGAGTTTGCATTTGATGTTGTCGAATGAAAGGAGGAAGAGAAGGCAGATAAGGCGGTGCGTCAGCGGCGCGTTGTTCGGCCCTTCCGGAGCTTGATTAGTTTGATTCCTCTCTTCCTCTTGTCCTTGTTCATCACCGACTTCAGTGACTGCAGAGAACACAGCACACAAACCCGCCGGGCATTAGGACAGCAGCAAACCCTGAAAACCTAAACCCTCACACCCTAAAACTCCATACACGTAAGTGTTGTCCTTTTGATTCTGCAAGAAGGCATAGGGTTCATCCCGTCCTAAGGCAGGCATTTCAAAACCCCGTTTACGGGTAAGGTGCTCGGTAGGTTGCGGGGTTTAGGGTTTAGGGTTTAGAGCTTCATCTTTTCCTGGGGTTGGTGGGTGTTTCGGGCTGTTTTAGGGGATCTGTCGGACCCTGAGTGCCTGGGCTCTGTATTTCTCTTTGAGTATTCCTCTGTTGAGTTTTATGTAGGCGTAAGGATCCACTCCTGCCTTCTTTTTTACATCTCCCTTTGCTTTCCTTGCTTTAAACTCGGCACCACTGCGTTCTGTGAAATGGCCGCCGCGTTGCTGCTTTCGCTTCTCCTTCAGCGCAGCGCGACGCGCAGCCAAAGAGCTCAGCGAAGGCTTGGTGCTGCTGCTGCTGCTGGGCTTCGCAGCAGCTGCTGCAGCAGTAACAGACCGGCCCTGCAGGCAGCAGCATCACAGAACCACGAACGTGCCATCAGCGCAAACCCGAATCGCGAACCCTAAACTCGAAACCTTAAACCCTAAACACTGAGCCAAGGGTCCGGTGGTTTGGTTAGGGTTATACGTTTGGCCCATAGAGTCTAGGCTGCAGGGTTTACAACTTAAGGGTTTATGGTTTAACAATGAGGTTCCTCTAGTCGAATTCACTTGCCTTGAGGTCCTTCCGGCGGTTCGAGCGGCCGGTGTCTTTACCGATATGGAACTTAGCAGCTGCTGCAAACAAACAAAAAGAAACAAACGCAAAATAAACAAAGAGAACAAGCAAGAAACAAACGGACAAATAACATCGGTTGCTTGTCCGTTGGCTTGGGGCAAACATATCACCGAATAAACACATAAGCAAACAAACAAATAAACGGAGAAATAAACAAAACGAAACAGCCAGCACATAAAACAACAAACATACAGACAAACAGAACATCCATCATATAATACATTCACTGCATCAGGTGCTGCAGGACTTGCTGCTGCGGCAGCGGCAGCAAGCGCGTCAGCATCTACAGCTACAGGTCGCAGTAACAATTGCGCATATAAGAGCAGAAACAGGCGCTCCAGCCGCTGCAAGGAGAAATGCAACGCCGCCAACAAAACCACCAGCAGCAGCAGCGGCAGTAGCAACAGCAGAAGCAGCAAGTTGGCTTCGTACGTTCGGTTGGTTGCTCTTCTTCTTCTTCCTCCTGAATAATTATTTTTCCTGTTTCATCAAGAGGGAGGAGGCTGAATTTTGTCTCCCGTTTTATGCCTCTTGCTGCTGCATGCGTTTTCCTGTCTTTTTGGGGCTGCATGCCCACAAGTATCTGGCGAGCTGCCGATACACCGCAGAAGTCCAATACAGCTGAAGTTGCATCAACACCATCAGCCGCCTCAAATACACTCAAACTCTGGCCAGAAGAAGGCACGGAATGACGCTTGCGCTGCAGAAACAGAGAGAGAACAAACACAGATTGATAGACTGTGGTAGACAGAAGGGGCGAGAGTGACATATATGGCGACAGAAAGGAAGGTAGAGGCAGGTACAGATATATTTGGACAGAGATAGATGCAGAGACAAATGCTGGCAAAGAGATAAGAAGAAAGAGAGGCTGGTTCCTCTCTCCCCCCAAATGCTTCCTGCACACTGTTACAGAAGCAACGCTGCGGTGTATCTGCACCCTCTGAAGCATCCTTAAGGCCCCACAGCCACAGTCGAGTAAACACGCACCAAAAATATGCAGCTGACTGGAGGGCTAGGACACATATCAGCACAGGAAGAGAAGAGAATGAAACACGGCAAGGGACACAGACACAGAGAAAGAGAAAGACAGAGACACACAAACTGCTCGTCGCTAGCTTCCAAGCATCAACAAAAGCAGCTGCAGCGGCAAGCAAACCACGTAGGAGTTCCCTGCCGAAGCTAGATTTAGGGTTTAGGGTTTAGCAGGGTTATTATGGTTATATTGGGGTTCATTAGGGTTTAGGTACTCTGCTCTTCCTTTCATTGTCACTCTCCTCTTCAAATGCATCGAGCAAAGACTTCAGCCCCACAGCCTCTACGCCATTGTCGCGCACTTGGGGATCGTCTCCTCCCGCCCGCTTCTGATGGCGAGGAGGGAGCTCCTGAAGAAATTCACAAACCCTAAACCCTGAACCCTGAACTCTAGACCCTGATCGCACATTTCTAGTTTTCACCAGGACGCCAGTCCACAACCCCCGAACCCTGAATCTAGCCCTTAACCACAAACCCTAAAACATCTCGTTTTAGACCCCAGGGGTTTGTGGTTGACGGCCACCGCTGGCCTTAAGCGTTTAGTGTTTAGGGTCGTCTTCTCTCACTCCCTCTCCTTCTTCATCATCAGTGTCTTCATCTGTCTCCGATTCTTCTTGGCCCCTGCGCCCCTCTACAGACTCCTCACTCTCCTCCCCAGATTCCTCAGCTCCCTGAAGCACCACAAACCGTAAACCCTAAACCCTAAATCCTTAGCAGTGAAGCTTATCCACGAGGCCGGTCGTCACGCCACAACCCCCTCTTTTGAAACAAACCAAGAAGATGTGTCTCCACTGGTTGAAACAAAAGGACCTAGGGTTAAGGGTTTAGGGTTTACGGCTGTTAAGCTTTTATACCTTCAGGGTTTGATGAATGAGCCGGCGAATGGTCCTGCGTCTCTCAGAGCGGAGCAGATGCCGCAGCAGAGGAATGTGCTCCTCAGGCATTGCCTTTTCCAGCGCCTCTTCCCCCTAAAACAGCCTCAAACAATAAACTCCAAACCCTAAACCCTAGAACCTCGTGAGTGTTGGCCCCCTTTTCAGGAGGCACTTGGACCTCTAGGGCTTAGGGGTAGGGGTCCAAAGCTGATCGTCTAGGAAGGGTAGAGCAGGGTTTAGGGTTTAGGGGTTGCCGGATGTACCATGACTTTACACAGTTTCTCTATCAAGTGGCGAATCTTCATGCGTGCTGTGCAGACACAGACGCACACACCTGAACCCTATCCCTAAACCCCAGATCCGAACACTAGTCCTTAAACCCGAGATCAAATGCTGGAGGCCCTTGCCCAGGGCTTGCCGCCTTTCATTAGATGCAGAGACAGCCAGAGCATTATTGTTGTTTATGGCGGGGAGTTTGGGTTTAGGGTTCTGTGAAAAGGGTTTAGGGTTTGGGGATTTGTAGGGTTTAAGGTGTACGGACCCTTCGGAGCGTTTGGGTTGCTCAAGGCCGCCAGCATCGACGGCAGCCAGGCCGCAAGGTCATCCATGTCTCCAGCACGAATGCAAGCCTGCATCCCAAACCCTTAACACTAAACCCTAAACCCTAAACCCTTAAGGGAAAGCCCAGGAGCTCGTGCAGTCAATCGCATTTCGCTGCCGTGCACCAGTTGCCAACACCGCCACTTTAGAGACAAGCGTGTTTAAGGCTTCGTTAGGGTTTAGGGTTTAGGGTTTACGGTTTACCTTTGCAAACTGAATGCCGGCGACGAAGGCCAACTTGTTGTGATCCTTGAGGAGCAGCAAACCCACCTCCGCCCACTCTTGCACCTGTTTGTGCGGCAGCTCTCCGCCTGAGCCCCAAATACCAGACCCCAAACCCTAAACCCCTGCTCCTGACTCGTAGTTGTTTGTGCGGAGCCAAGGGTGGGCAGCTGCAATGCCTGCCCCACCAGCGGCCGAACAGATGCTTGGGTAGATATCCTGCTCTCCGTTTAGGGTTTGGCGGGCGGGGTTTAGAACCTAGGGTCTGGGGCTAAGGGTTTGCGTACTGTAGAGGTCAAAGAGCCTCCCTAGAGCGAGAGCAGCAGCTGACTTGAGAAGGGGTGGGGCCCCGGGGGCCCCTTTGGAGCGCCCAGTCTCCGGCGTAAGGCCTCCAAAGCCAGCAGCCACGTATGTCACCAGTGCAGAAACTGAAGATAGCAAGCAAACCCTAAACCCTAAACCCTAACTCCACATCATACACCAGCAGAGAAGCTGTGCGATCTCCGAAGAGAAAGCAACAACAGTAGCAACAACAGCAACAGCAAACAACAGCAACAGCAGCAACTCCAGGAACAACAGCTGCAGCAGCAGCAGCTATAAGGGTGCGTACGGTGTAGCTGGTTTCCTTCACATAGGGTGGCGAGCGTGTCTAGGGCTTGTGCTGCTGTCTCCCTGTTTCGTTTGTTTATCTCCTTAAGAGACAATAACACCTCAGGCACAGCAGCAGGCAACACCTCCTGGAGCAATTCCTCCCACTCTACGTACACCACACATACACAACCCCTTCAAACAATATATCCTTAACCATAAACCCTAAACCCTAGACAAGAACATTAGAACTTCCCCCCTAAGCCATATGTGCCCCGGCAAGTAAGTTGTAAATACTCCCTGCGGACCTTGAGGGTACAGCATAGCTGTCTCAAGAGAGGTTAAAGGGTTTAGGGTTTAGGGTTTAGGGTTTACTGGTTGGTTCGAATTCTTCGCGGCGTCGATCGAAGGCTTGCAGCAGCCCCAGGAGACAGCTGAGCCTTTGCTTCAGATCTCCTGCTGCTGTTGCTGCCTCCCGACATTCCTTGAGGACCTTCCAGACTTCCAGCAGCTCCGCAACGCCCGCAACAAACCCCTAAGCAGCAGCACCAGCAGCAGCAGCAGCAGTAGCAGTAGCAGGAGTAGTAGCAGCACAATAGAAGGACCAGCACAGCACCAATAGCTCATGCAGGTAGGCAGAGAGATACGGGAGACAACAGATACGGACACCCGAAACGGGGACTGCTTGCGGGGGGTACACCAGGAAATGTTTAGGCGTAAGAGGCCCCGGCACAGCCTCAAAAAAAACGAAATAAACAAAACAAAAAGCTCTGCGCACCTCGTGCTCCCCAACATCATCCAAAGCATGCTTCAGAGACATGTACGTCTTGCGCTGCAGTGTCCGCAGCAACGCCCGGCTGCTGCTGCTGCTGTTGCTGCTGCTGCTTACCGCCGCACTGCAGCGGCGCAGCAGTGTCAACAGAGTATTGAACAGCTTCGCTCCTATAGAAGAAACAACAGTAGCAGCAGCAACAGCAGCAGCGACAACAGCAGCAAATGAGTTGGATGGGGGGACAAGGACGATCTCAACAGACTCAGACTGTGGGAAGAAATGCAGCAAAAAAAGGCAAACACAAACAAAGCAGAAACAGATAGAGAGCAGGCAGCAAGCGACAGCAAGGAGACAGAAAAGGAGAGACAGAGGCCATCGCAGCCCTTCTTCGAATCCAGGCGAAGGGACGGAGATGTTTGGGGTGCTTCACAGTAGAGGCAGCAGCAGCAACAATACTAGCAGCAGAAAAAGCAGCTACAACAGCAGCAAAACCAGCAGAAGTAGCAGCAGCAGCAACAGCAGCAGCAGCAGCAGCACACCGATGTCCGGCGCTGTGAAGGGTCTGAGGGCCCCGCAGACGTCGAGGAGGGCCCCGCATTCCTTCGGCGCCAATGGGGGGGGCCCCGTGTTTGAGGAGACAGAAGAAATGCATGCGGCGAGGGCCCCTGCAAACCTCTCAGCATTTGTCTCCATCAGAGCCCGAGGACAGAGCGGAGCAAAGGCCTGCAAGGAGACACACAAATCTTATCATAAGAAAGAAAGTCACAATGTGTCGTCGTCTGTCTCTGTCTCTCCGTATCTCTATCTTTTGCGTTGTCTCTGACTTTGTCTGCCTCTGTCTCTGGCTTGTTCTTTGTTTATCTCTGTCTCTGTCTTTGTCTCTGTGTGTCTCTGTCTCTGTGCATGTATCCTTGTCTATATCTGTCTCTGGGCGCCTCTGCGTGTGTTTGTAACTGTCTCTCTCCCAGTGCCCCTCTCCATCTGTCTCTGTCTCTGTCGCTGCAGGTGTCTGTTTGTCTGCATCCTGCCTCTGTTTTTCTATCTGTTTCTGTTTGTCTCTATTTGTCTCCTTTTTTTCTTTGTCTCCTTTATCTCCTCTCTCAAGCTTTCTTCTCTGCCCTTTCGGCTACTGCTCAGAGGCCCTCTCCTAGCTACACCCGTAGTTGTCCCCTGTCTGTCTCCTCCTGTCTCTTTCTGTCTCCTGTCTCCTTCTGCCTACACTCTGTGGTCTCTCACCTGTATTGTCTGCAGCAGCTGCTGCGCCGCTTTCGCCTTGGCTGACTCTGTAAGAGCAGCAAATGCTGCCTCTGCTGGCCGTGCTGCTGCTGCTGCAGGTGCTGCTGCTGTGTCCTTGTGCAGCAGCAAATAGCGAACTGTCACGAAGCTTAGGGTCTCCTCCGCGTATGCAGCAAGAGCTCTTCTGTTGCTGTCAGCTGTTGCTGCTGCCATCACTGCAGCAGGAAGCAAGCTGCTGTCTGTGGGGCAGCATGTGCGCGCTGCACGAGCTGCTGCTGCTGCTGCTGCCTTCACTGCAGCGGAAGAGCCGTCACCTGCTGCAACAGCAGCAACGGCATCCGCCAACCGCCGCAAGAACAGCAGCACCTGCGGTCCCGTTGCAGTAGATGGAACCTGTGCTGCTGGTGCATGATCCCGCACACTCAAGCCCTGCTGCTGCTGCTGCTGTTGCTGCTGCAGCTCAGGTGTCTGCACGCCTGGCGGCAACGCGGACTTCGCCATCGCCCCAATCGTAGCGCATGCAGCGTCTCTCAAGAAGGAGTCGTGCAGCAGCTCAAGGACCCGCGGCACCAGCAGCATGCCGTGGGGGGCCCCCCGGGGGCCCCCTTCCTTCGTACCGTCAGGCTGAGGTGTCTCCTTGCGGAGACACTTGGCTAGGTCCAGAGGCTGGTTTGAGAAGGCCGGCAGCAAACCCCACAGTTGTCTGTACACCCGAGACCAGTCCCCACTCTCTATCGTATGCCCTGCTGCAGCAGCCTCCTCCGCCCGCTGCTGCACTGCAGCAGCCTGAAGCAGCAGCACACACACCACAGACCTGCAACGCTGCAGCACCATGGCCAGCCTCAAGAGAGCAGCAGCAGCATTCGGTGGCGACAACAACAATAACCGTATCTATCAACAATAGCACCAACAACAAGAACAGCAATGCCAACAGCAGCGGCAGCACCACAGCAATATCAGCAGCAGCAGCAACAACATGAATACCAATAAAAGCAGCAGCAGCAGCAGCAACGGCAGCAACACCAACCGCAGCAGCAGCAACACCAGCAGCAGCAGTAACAGTAGTAGCAGGAACAGCGGCAATACCAGCAGTAGCAGAAGCAGCAGCAATACCAAGAGCAGCAGCAGCAGAAACTGCTGAAAAGCCAACAGCAGCAGAAAAAGCAGCGACACCAACAACAGCAGCAGCAACAGCAGCAGCAACAGCAGCAGCAGCAACTCACAGCGGGGATGATTTCGCGTAGGAAGAACTGGAGTTGGTCTCTGCAGACGAAGCGCTGCAGCAACGGCAGCAGCCAGATATTGGCCCTCTCAACAAATGCATCAAAGGAGAGAGAAGCATCAGCAGCAAGAGACAGAGACAGACGGGGGGCTGCACCGTCACCGCATAGAACGCGGAGACACCCAAATACACGCACAGCCGACCCAAATGCATACTCCAGCTGAGGCCTGAGCGCAGCAGCAGCAACAGCAACAACAGCAGCAGCAAGAAGCATGCACTGTCCCAGCAGCAGCAAAATACACAGCCCGCGCTAACACAGCGACGGCAGCAACAGCAGCAGCAGCAGCACCAAACACTCAAAAAGCAGCAGCCAAGAGTATGCAGCGGCTCCAGCAGAAACTGCTGCAGCCGCTCTTCGTTCAACCCCCAACAAACCGCGCCAAACCCTAAACCCTAAACCCTAAACCCTAGCTATTATGCCCTTAACACGATGCATGCATATTGTCAGTTGTGGGAGCTGACAACCTAAGGAGCAGTAGCGTCTAGCCTTCCATTCGAGGGTTTAGGGTTTAGGGTTTAGGGTTAGCTTTTGCGCGCACCTGTACAACCGTAGGTCCTGTTGCTTGGCCTTCAGGAACGCAGTCGATTTGCTAGGGGTTTTGCTATAAGCTCCTTTCTGCTGCTGCTGCTGCTCTTGTTGCTGCTCTGTGCCCTCTGCTGCCAGCAGCAACTCCCCTAGAGTGGAGACTACGGGGAGCAAAGAGGAGAACGCTGAGGAGAAATACTCGTCTAAGCACGCCTCCAAAGTCCCCACGTCTCCCGAAACACCCTACGTCCACACAAACCCTAAACCCTAGACCCTAAACCCTAAACTCTAAACCCTAAACCCTAAATTATGTGATCAAATCTCTACGCCTCGGTGCATCTGCAGAGCGAGCTGATGGAACGCCGGCGTTTAACCGCTGCTAAGATTTCTGAGCTTCTGCATATAGCCCCTTCGAGTTCAAGTGTAGGGTCTAGGGTTTAGGGTTTAGGGTTTAGGGTTTACGAGCGTGCTGGGGTTGGGGCCGTCTAGCGCTGCTCTGAAGGCGCAGACCTCCACCGCCGCAAACTCCTCCCCGCAGAGCTTGAAGACCTCCGGCCAGCGGACTTTATGTCGATAGTGCAGCAAACTCCTGAAACAAGCAAAACCCTGAAAACCCTAAACCCTAAACCCTAAACCCTACACCCTAAACAACGAACAACAGGATGGTTCAAATGGTCACATGAGACACTCATGTCGGGCTAGGGTTTGCAACTCGGGGGTTTAGGGTTTAGGGTTTACTTCAGGAAAGGGGCCATGGCCTGGTGAATCGGCACCCCTGTTATCTGCTGCTGCACTACGAGCCGCTTCTGCAGCACAAACACAGGAGAGCTTGGACCCACACATGCAGCAATAGCAGCAGCAGCAGCAGCAGCAGCAACAGCAGCGACAGCAGCAACAGTAGCAGCGCAGCAGCTTAAGAAACGAGAACAGCCGAAGGCTCGGCAGCAACAGCTGCAGGCCTCCCGCAACAGCAGCAAAAGCAGTAGCAGCAGCAGCGACAACAACCCCCAACAACAGAAGCAGCAACCTCCACCAACAGCAGCAACACCAGTAGCAGTGGCGACCAAAGCAGCAGCAGCAGAAGTCATAGCAACAGCATCAGCGCCATAGGCAGCAGCAACCGTAATCGCAAAATGAGCAGCAGCAGCAGCAGCAGCAGGCTTACTGCAGCTTTAATTGCTGCTGAGTGTGCTGTTGGGTCTGTCGCTTTGTTTAATATGTTTGTGAGAGAGGAAACAAACCGATGCACTAGCGACAAGCAAACGCTCATCCTGTCCTTCGGCTGCTGCTGCTGCTGCTGCTGCTGCGGCTGCGGCTGTCCGGGGCCCTCTAGGGTGAGCTTATCCATCAGGCTCAGCAGCTGCTCTTCTGCTGCATCAGCTGGCTTTGCTGCTGGTGCTGCTGCTGCTCCCGCCCCCTGCTGCTGCTGCTGCTGCTCCTCACTAGCCCACAGCATGATAGCAGAGACAGCCGCAGCAGCAGCAGAAGACCAGGCAGCAACATCTCTGGGGCCTGCATTGCTGCTGGGTTGAATATTCTTTTTTAATAGAAGACACGATAAGAGCTGAGAGGCAATAGACAAAGAAGAAACGCCTGATCGATGCTGCTGCTGCTGCTGCTGTTGCTGTTGCTGCTGGTTGTCACTTAGCAGCAACTGCTGCTGCTGCTGCTGCAGCAGCACGCGCCGCTGGTGCAGCAGCTCCGTTAGAATGACCCCAACTGTCTCCAGGCACTCAGCTAGGGGGGCCCCCTTCGGGCCCTTACGCAGCAAGAGGAGACAGAGGGCCTCAGCTCGTTCCTTTTGCTTCAGCAGCTCCTGCTGCTGCTGCTGCAGCTGCAGCTGCTTCTGCTGCTGCTGCAGAGCATCGAGACGCAGGCCGATAGAGGTGAGCAGCTGAGGCAGAATCCGCTGCAGCAGCAGTAGCATTCGGTGTTCTTTGCTGTTGTGTTGCATCATCTGCTGCTGCTGCTGCGGCTGCTGCTGCTGCTGCTGCTGTTTGAGGGCTCTTGTTAACGCAGATATAAGAGAGCCAACGCCTGCCACTGCTGCTGCTGCTGCTGCTGCTGATGTCTCCTCTTCCTGCTGCAGCTGGCTGCAAAGGCGAGACAAAAACTGCAGCAGCAAACGCTTTGCTGCTGCCTGAATAGTCACATGATGCCCCTCCACTGCAGCACGCAGCAGCACCTCGAAACAGCCGCGAGACAAGACCACAATGGGTTTGCTGCTGCTCTTGCCGCTGCTGCTGCTGCTGCTGCTGTTGCTGTTGCTGTTGTTGCTGCTGCTGCTGCTGCTGGCAGTGAGGCCCCCACAAGTCCGCAGACACTGCAGCAGAGACAACGCAGACCTCTCTGGTGCCTCTGACAGCCCCGCAGCATCATGCAGCAGCGGCAGCAGCTGAACAAGCAGCTGCTGCTGCTGCTCTCCCCCCTGCAGCAGCTCGGCCTTTGCTGCGGCAGCAAACAACAACTCCAGCAGCACACTCATGCCTAATACATACATGGGGGGGCCCACAAGGGGCCCCTTATTCCCTTCTGCATCTTCAGCATCTTGCTGCTTCTTCTGCTGTTGCTGCTGTTGCTGCTGCTGCTGCAGCTCATCCAGGGACCTCCGAAGACACTGCAAGGTAACATGAATTGCTGCGGTTAGGGGCTGCTGCTCTGCTGCTGCAGCTTCAGCAGCAGCTGCCTTAGAGGAGAGAGCCGAGAGGATAGCTGCCCAACAGGTGCGAGCTGCTGCTGCATCTGCAGCAGATAAGGGAGAAGCCAGCAAAGCTTGGGTACGGGGAGGGGCCCCCTGGGGGGCCCCCCCAGAGGATTCCGCCGCTGCTGCTCCCCCTTCTAGCTGGGAGGCAACGGCAGCAAGCAGCTGCTGCTGCAGCAGCAGTTGCTGCTGCTGCGGCCTCTGCTGCTGCTGCTGCTGCTGCGGCTGCTGCTGCAGCAGGGACACCATCTCCAGCTGCCTTGGGGACAGAAGGAGATTCCCCCCTGTCCTCAAGGCTTCGGGTTTGTAGGTAGGTTTTTCGGCTTATGAATTAGGGTTTAGGGTTTAGGGTCTAGGGTTTAGTGTTTTATACTCAGTGTTTAGAGACTGCTGTGGGGCCTCCGGCCCATTCCCGCAAGATGCCTGTCTTCCACTAAGACAAAGAGCAGCCAGAGCTCAGGGTTTAGGGTTTATGGTCTAGGGTTTAGGGTTTATCTTTAATAGAAGGAAGGAGAAAGAACGCAGAGCTTCTCTGCAGCAACACAGGGGCCCCGGCACGTGCTGCGAAGGGCCCCCGGGGGACGGGGCTGTTCAGCATTTTAGGGTTTAGGGTTTAGGGTTTAGGGTTTAGCGTTTGGCTTAGAACTTGAGCGCTACTCTTTTCTTGCATTTTTCTTTTTGTTTCGGGGAGAGGTCTAGGGTTTAGGGTTTAGGGGTTCCAATTTGTTTAGGTGGCAGCCTGAAGGTGCGGGAACCGCATGGCCCCTGCTTCCCGTCCAGGCAAAGGGTTTAGGGTTTATGGTTTATGGTTTAGGGTTTAGGGTTTAGGGTTTATTGGTGCCCCATGGAGGTGGAAAATGAAAGACCAGAGGACGGCGAGCGCGTTCAGCAGCTCCTGCAAGTCATCGCTGAATTCAAGGCAAGAAACCGCACAAACCCTATCTAAACCCCAAACCCTAAACCCTAAACCCTAGACTCTAGACCCTCAGCTGTATAGGCTTTCAGACATTTCTGAGGAAACCGAGAACCGCTCTGAGGTGGAGGCCTCCATACGCCTTGAAACTATGTACTCCTCTGGCTGCCCTGGGTGCATGCCGTCGTCGCAAGGGTCTAGGGTTTAGGGTTTAGGGTTTAGGGTTTGCGTCTGCTTCAGCGGCGGGAGTATCTACACCTCTCGCTAATCTCTTCCTTGGAGCGTTCTCTATCAAAGGCGCAGTGCTGCGGGGCCCCTTGGGCCCCCTTCATAGGCAATCCGGGTACGAAGGACATCCGAGATGAGGAGGGGGGGCCCCCTGGGGGCCCCCAGGGGGCCCCCCAAGGGGCCCCCTCGGGAGCTTCTTCCCAGGGGGGACCCTTTCTTAGGGGCCTCGCGGTTGACCCTGCAACCCAGCTGGAGATAAAGACCCTGAGGATGCGGCTGGCGGAGGCTGAAGGGGCCCTTGAGAGGACGAAGGAAACACAGACAGCGCAGCAGTTCTCTGGGCAGAGGTGCGCTGCCTTTGTAAACCCTTAACATTAAACCCTAAACCCTTGAAATGAAGCTTACTTACTGCAGCAGAAACACTGCGGGGGAGATAAACCCCAGACCCTAAACCCTAGAAACCGCAGAACCCTCTCTGCACCTATAGATATTTTTTTGTTTTTTAAATCCTCAAAACCCTCAACGCCATATGTGGCCACCTGTTCCCGAGAGCTGGGCCTAGACCCTAAACCCAAGAGGGTCACCTCTTAAAACCCTAAACCCTAAACCCTAGAACTTTTAGTCAAACCCTCACTTCACAGCAACCCTTTCCGATGCAACTCCTGAGGCGTATTTCTGGCAGTGGCTGCATCGGCAGTCGTCGCCTGCAACATTCAACCCCTAAACCCTAAACCCTAAACCCTTGTTTGGGGTTTTGCTGCTGCAGCGTGACTGGGCAGCGGCTGATAACAAAGTGCCGGACGCTGCAGCAGGAGAATGCAGAGTTAGGGAGGGCCCTGAATGAGGGTTTTGCTGCAACAACAACAGTTCAGCTGGGGGCCCTAAAGAAACATGTTGTCTTCTTACAAAAAGAACTAAGGTCCGCAAACCCTAAACCCTAACCCTAAACCCTAAACCCACCATGCTCTGCTGTATGCTCTGCTGCAACCAACACGGAAAAGAATAGTGAAGAATAGTAGACATACACGCGTCTGCTGCTTTTGATGCACTTATTGCTGTTGCTGCTGCTGCTGCTGTTGCTGCTGCTGCTGCTGTTGCAGGCAACTCCGGGAACTCAACGCTGACCTCGATGCAGACAACGAAGATTTGTCTCAGCAACTTCAAGCAGTGTTTGTTCAGTTCAGCGTGAGTAACGAGGGTTTAGGGTTTAGGGTTTAGGGTTTTAGGCGAGGGCTAGGACTGCTTCATCTCGAAGATGGTGTGACGCTCTGGCCTGTGCCTAATGCCTTTTAGGGTTTAGGATTTTGTGACTAGTGTTTAGGGTTTAGAGTTTAGTGCTGAGGGTTTAGGGTTTAGGGTTTAGGGTTTGTATTCAGGAGGTGAAGGCGGAGAGAGATTCTTTGAAGCTGCAGGTGGCGGACCTCGAGACAAAGCTGAAGGCCACCAAGATCTCGAGGCCTCCTCAGTAAGTCCTAAACCCTAAACCCTAGCAGTTTCTCCTAAGCCTAGCTCCTCAAAACCCTAAAACCCCTTGCACGTAAACCCTAAACCCTAGGAAGTAAACCCTTAGATGAAATCCCGAATCGTTTGATGTTAGGCAGCGAGGAGAAGGAAACCCCAGCTCAGGAGAACCTTCAGGCTAGTTAAGCTCATAAGGGGCCTTAGAGGTTTAGGGTTTAGGGTTTAGGGTTTAGGGTTTGGTGTGCGCAGCCCCGAAAGAAGCTACGGAGTTCGCGCTAGCCCTTCTGGCAGCCGAGGGGACCGCAGGGCTTCATCTACCGCTCCTTCAGGCGATTTTGCTTCACGCGGGGGCCCCCTGGGGGCCCCCCGTGAGGATAAGAGCAGCAGGTCAAGCAGGAGGGTTTGGGACGCTGAGCGGTCCCCAGAAGGCCCCTCGCGCAGGGGGGCCCCCGAGGGGCCCCATTCGGCTTCTCACAGTAGACCCCCGCGGGGAGACAACAGAGACAGAATCGACAGAGACAGAGACAGAGACAGGGGCAGAGACAGAGACAGAGACAGAGACAGAGATAGAGAAAGAGACAGAGAAAGAGAAAGAGAGAGAGATAGAGATAGAGACAGAGACAGAGACAGAGACAGGGAGAGGGATAGGGAGCGGGAAAGGGAAAGGGAAAGGGAAAGAGAGAGGGAGAGGAGGGCAAAGGAAACCCAACGAAGGCCCTCTGAGGATTCCAGGGGCCGCAGGGGTTCCGCCAGCGGCTCCTCGCGCCAGCGTAGCAACGCCCGCTAGCGAGCGGGCTGGCTAGCTAGCCAGCTAGCCCTCTAGCTAGCTGGCTAACTAACCCTCCGACTAGCCGACTGTTTGGCTAGCTACCTAGCCACACAACAACTCAAGGCCTTTGTTCCGGCCAGTCATCTTCTTAAAAGGAAACTCTCCTTCCTTGCAGTTCGCCAGCCGTCAAGGGTAACCTCTAGTTGTCTAGCTAGCTAGCTAGCTACCACAGCAAACGAACTCACTAGCTGTGTTTCTGGCTAGGCCAGGCGGGAGTTCACTTTCCTTCGGCTCTGAGACTGCGGGCTCCACGCAGCGTCGTCGCTGAAGGCACAGGGCTCGCTGCAAAATTTATCTAAACCCTAAGACCCTGCGTGGCTAGCCAGACGAGCAGCTAGCCAGGTAGCTATCCATCTAGCTAGCCAACTGGCTGCCCAACTCGCTATCCGGGTAGCTAGCCAACTAGCCACCCAACTTGGTAGCCAGGGAGCTAGCCAGCTAGCTGTGCAGGTTTCGAGGTTCTCTGTGTGTGTGCTTCTTCTCGTTAGATGGCTACAGCCGGGGTTACCCCTCTGAATTTCTCAAACCTCCGAGCGGCCTAAACCCTAAAACCTAATGGCGTGTAAAGTGTAGAGTGTGCTGCTGACGACAACCCCACCCCAGTTCATATCTTAAAAAAATTTAGGGTGCTGCATGCAGCAAGGCTGGAGTGGCCTTCCCTGCGGTGTACGCGGGTTTCCGTTTCTGTCCCTGCAAGCAAGCCGGGCGCCTGCATGCCTTCATATGCATGGATGCATGTATATGGAGGCATGCATGCATGCATACATGAGTTGAAAGAACATATCTCTAGAGGTGATAGTTGAGGCAGCTGTATGCTGAGGTGGCCGTTAATGCTTAACAGCCTGAGAGCCTCCCGTTACGGACCGAGCGGGGGTTTCGCTTTCGCCGGGCGCAACAGGTTGGGGGCCCAACTGAGAGTTGCTTAGGGGGGCCCCCATAGAGTTGCTATGGGGGGCCCCCCGCGGGACCGCGGCAACGCTTCCTGCGAGGGAGGCCTTTGAGTGGGGGCCCCCGTTGTTGTTTGTTTGGCTAGGAAGGACAGTGATCTGGGGCCCATCTTGTTCGTCATAGTGCGTGGCTTGTATGTATGCTTGCTGCGCTGCCAGTTGTTGTTGTATTTCTTTTTCTTTATCTTCTTGTCTTTGTTTATCTATTCCGAGGTCACGAATAAATTTATGTGTGAAGAAGAGGCAATAAGAAAGTGTAGCAACAAGAGTAAGAACGAGAGAGCCAATAGCTATAGCAGCAGCACTACCAAGGGCACAGACCCCAGCCCCCCCTGCATCTGTAACGCATGCAGCAACATCTGTACCTACACCCCAGGAGGCGAGGCCGCACAGCTGCAGCACGAGAGCCACCAGCCACGCTACGGTGCCTACAAGGTTCACAGGGAGATCTTGTACGCGTTGCGCCCAGGGGCTGCCTAGCGTCGTCAGCAGCAAGGAAGCAGCAGCAGCAGCCATACCGAGCCCCGCAAAAACAATATAAGCAACAGCCATACGACCAAACAAAGCTCCACTCTTCTTAAACATCTCCAAATCCTTGCAGTGTACATCAAACAAAGTGGGGCCCAATAGATCTCCACGCATCTCCGCATACTTCCCTGTCAACGAACCGGGGGCCCCAGGGTCTCGCCCCAGAGTCACGCTGTATGGGGGAGGTCTAGCTAGGGGGCCCCTACGCTCTGCGTGACGAGATGGAGAAAAAACCTGCTGCAGCTGACGAGATAAGAAAGAAACTCCTGAAACTCCTGCGTCTGCAGCTGCTGCGCGCCTAATCGTTTCCTCCACATGTTCCTCTCGCTGCTGCTGCTCCAGCATCTGCTGCTGCTGCTGCGGAGTCGGCTCCACCTGGCCAGAGAGTACTGCCTCATCCTCGGGTTCTTCTCCTGCTGCTTCTGGCTCGCCACTTGCTGCTGACGTTCCTCTGTCTTCGCCTGCGTTGCTGCTGCTTCCGTCTGGGTTTTGTGCTGCGGCTTGTCTCTGTGGTCCCTCGTCGTCTGTGCCGTTTTCTTCTGCATCGGGGAGGCAGTAAGCACTGTCCATGGCGTCTTGGTAGAGAAGTGGGGGGTCATAGACAACAATAACTCCTGCATCGTCTTTCCTATGCAGTGTTTGTATACGCTGTAACGACCTGAGCCCAAGCTCGACGCGAGAGATGTTCTCCCCGTTGTCGTCGGTGTAGCTCAGGCGTTGGTGTCTCCATGTGCGCATAGCAAGAGAAAGAGCTATCAAAAGAATAGCAAGGGCCCCGCATGCAGCACAAACCCACATCGCACTGTCTAGGGTCTTGCTCCACACAGCCCCCACCTTCTCCCCTGCATGCACCACCTGTGCTGACGCGGTCTTCACGCCCTCCCGCATAGACGTTGTAGCGCGTTTCAGCGTATTACGAGTAGCTACCGCAGCGCCTGCTGCTGCTGCTGCTGCTGCAGCAGCGGCAGACTCGCTCTCCGGTCGCCGCTGCTGCTCCTGCAGGCCTGGGGAGGGGGCCCCGGGAGAGGCGGGGGGCCCCTCCTGGCCCTTGGGCTGCTCGANTGCTCCTGCAGGCCTGGGGAGGGGGCCCCGGGAGAGGCGGGGGGCCCCTCCTGGCCCTTGGGCTGCTCGACAGACGGTTCAGCCGCAGCTGAGATTGGCTGCTGTGACGCTAAGGGGTTTTCAGCTTCCTGATCTTCATGCAAATAAAGAGAGTCCTTAGCACCCCCCGCATCTTGCGCTGCTCCTGCGTGCGACAGCTGCTGCGCGTTGCCCTCTGGCTCCTCAGAGGGACCGCTGAAGAGAAAGCCTCCCCCAGAGGAGCCCTGGGCACCCCCCTGGGGCCCCTCTTGCTGCACTACGTCCCCAAGGTCGTGACCCTCTACCTCGATGTAACGCGGGGTGTTTGCCCCCGACATAGTGACTCCTCAGGCGTCTGGATGAAGGGAGGGGAAGCCAGAATAAAAAAAGAAAACAAGCGAGGATTATTCCTGCTGCTTCTGCTGCGGCTACCGCTGCTGCTGCCGCTGCTGTTGCTGCTGGTCTGCTACGCTACGCGCGCAGGTGTTATCTGCCGTCCGCAGTATTGATGTTGAACGGTGAAGGCAGTTGGCTAATTTACGCGTTACTTGTGGAAAGAGTGTCGTAATTCCACAGATAAAAAAAGAAATTGTCACATAAGAACGAACGCTACGAGAAAAAGACAGAAATAATTGCGGCGTTGTTGCTGCAACAGACAACCACGCAACAGACAACCACCAACGCAGGCGGCGCGTTGATGGTACTCAGTGGTGGAGCTGCTGCAACAACTGTCGTCAGATTGCCGGCGAATTTGTTTGTTTATGTCAGCAAAATTAAGTAAAAATAATATTTTGGCTTATTTCAAAAGCTTTTACTGCGCAAGTCCAGTGCGACTGAGAACGAAACGGACATTCAACTTAGCAGTCAAGTGAAACCAATGGGCAACCGACTGTAGACCACCGAACAACAGCTTTCCCTACAACCCCAAAATAAATAAATGACAAACTAAATACTAAAAATATAAATACTTCCTTCGTGTTTCCAGTTTCGTGCACCGTTACAAAAGCATGTCGAATTAGTAGCATCGCATCGCCCTCCTCCGGGTCACCTGATGAGAACGAAAAGGAGGAAAGACGCAGAGAGGTTTCTCTTGATCTTCCCCTCATCTTTAGCATGGGTTACAACCAAAGATATTCGCGGATATGCTTTTCACTTTCGCTTCCCTCCACTTGCACGCCATCTGTCGGTACACATGAAACTGAGACTTCTGACTTGCCAGAGCAGATGACGTGATTCATGGGCGAAGTCACCCCGAAACAGGGAAACTCTTTTCATANTCTGACTTGCCAGAGCAGATGACGTGATTCATGGGCGAAGTCACCCCGAAACAGGGAAACTCTTTTCATAATGGTCTCCCTTTACTTTATATGCCCATCAAGGGCCCACGTTACCGTGTTTTTCATGTTGTGTTCCCTCTCTTGGGCCGAACAGCATCGGAAACCTGAACTGCCCCAACGTGCGGAGGGAAACTCCCATCCCCCACAATTCGCGCAAGTAAAAGGTATATGAGAATTACTTCTTCTTCTTTCTGCGCATTTTGTTCACTTCGTACACCCGCCTCTGGGCCCGTTCAGAGCGCATCCTGGGAAATGTTGCACGGGGGGCCTTAGCAGGTGCACTAGGAACCCTAGCCGGGGCCCCCTTGGCCCCAGCCTTGGGAGCCCCTGCTGGGATTCCATTTGGAATGGGGGTACCTGCCGCAGGAGTACCCCAAGCTGGCGCAACTGCAGCTGGACCCGCAGCAGGAACAGCAGAGGCAGCGCCGCCTCCTGTAGACCTTGATGCGATCGTGAGTCTCTCTGGAGGTCTTAGCAGCTTATGAATACTTTGCCATACATCACATTCTCAGGAAGCTGCCCAGGCGACTGTGGATGAGGAAGTGGAAACCAGTAATTGTTGAAACGAACCGAAGAATGTCACGTGGTGGTGCTTCATAAATAGCTGTTATTTCTAGCGACGAAGCTCGGCAACAAGCTGAAAGAAGCTGTTGATGTAATAGGCTCTTTGTTTGTACTTATCTGAAGAAACAGAGAGCGAGTTTACTACCCTTTTCCTCCAGATGCTCTCAGCAGCCACGCAATCTCACGTGCGAAAGGTGGGTTTCTTGTGCTGAAATTATTCTTTGATTCGTTTTGTTTGCTCTTCATTCAACACCACACGAATTGTATTTGTATTCCCTATAATCTTTGCTTTTTTCAGGGAGTGGATTACTCGGCCTCAGTCGTCCAGCCGCCTCCTCCTCCTGAAGAGCAAACGGTACGGAGAGGAAGAAAAAGTAGAAAAGCAGCTTCTGTGTTGCAAGTGACAACAAAAGTAACAAAAAATATATAATAATAATAATTGTGTTTTTCGGTTTTGGAATCAGGGAACGGAACTCTCCGCCGTCGCAGCTGGTAGAGCTTATCTCCTATGCACGCGCACCGACTTGCTCCTTTTAAATTCAGCTTTCCATTTTTGTTTTATATTATTTCTCTTGAAGCAGAAGAAAACCGCTACACCGCTCCCGTCATCATCTTGCTTCCCTCTGAGCCCACGCCGACGTGTGTAGATCTTCCTCGTTTTCACGTGTTTTCTCTATCTTTATCTACTTCGTCTTCCTCTCCCTTTATATACGCATTTCTCTGCTTCAATCTGAATTGTTTTTTCTTATTTTTCCCATTAGAAGAGGCTTCTTCTCCCCATGTTCCTCTTCTCTCGGTTGATATACACATGCCCCTCTGTTTTTTTTTTCTGAACTGGTCGCTTTTCTTGTTCTTCGTTCGAGAGAAGATGCCTTTGGTTTCTCTCTTTCTCTCTCTGTTTCTTCTTCCCTACTACTTCTATTGATTAATATACATTCATCTCTGCTTCACTTTAATTTCGTTTTTCCTTTTCTTTTTCAGAGAGAAGATGGAGTTCGCAAGGGCCATGGCCTGCTTAGGAAAGTTGAATTCCCCTGAGATGCGGCGGGCAAGGACCGCCGAGTTGACGGAGATGGCAACAATTAAAGGAAAAACAATTGAAGAGCTCGAAAGAGAAATCACAGAAACGCAAGAGGAACTGTCGAAGGTGAAAATATACTGCTTCATTCTGCTCGTTCTGTTTTTTTTAGTGCAGTTGCTCGTTTGTTTCGTTGTTTGCTTGTTCTGTTGTGTTTATTTCGGTGGGTTTCTTTTGTTCTTTCTGTTTCATTGCTTGCTTGTATATGCTTGTTTGTCTATACGTTTCCTCCTTTCCTCCTTTCCTTTCTTTTTTTCTCCGTTTCCTTCGCAAAAGGCTCATTTGTATTTATTTACATCTACAGAGTAAAGCGGAGAGGCGGCGGGTGCAGCAGGAGTTACGTCAAGTAGCAACGAACACGGTTGAGGGAACAGCAGTGGGTCTTTGTATTTAATTATCTCGTTTATTGTTTGTTATTCTTGTTGAATTATTTTCGCTGAATGCCTGTTCTTGTAATTATTTTGTTTATCACTTGTATTCGTTCTTCCGAGAATTTGTATTCGTTGTTTCAGTCGTTTCGTTCACTACTCATGCTTCATATTTCAATCAGCTTGTTTCCAGTTATAAATAGTATTTTTTATTTTAATTATTTTGTTTACTGTCATACTTTTTGTTTGCTATTTCACTTTTTTCATGTTGCTTTCGCCTTTATTCAACTTCTGTACAGACTCAGGCGGATCTGCTGTTTATGAAACACGACGTGCAACTGGCAGACGAAAAGATAACCATTTACCTAGATAAGCTGCAGCGGCTTGAAGTCAAACTTGCGCGGCTCCGTAGTGAAGAAGAGAGAGGAGAGGGAGAAGGAAATAGAAGGCAGATGCATGAAGAAGAAATGGAAGAGTATGAAGAGAGAGAAACAGGAAGAAAATACAGCGGCAGCTCAAGAAGTCGCCAAAAGGAACAAAAGGCTAAAGCTGCCCAACCCAAACCAAAGAAAACGAAGACTAAAGGAACACCAGCTGTACGTACATACACCCCAACAACACCTAAACAAACAAATCAATTGTCTCTTGTGCCTCAACACGGCATCCAGCCGAAGAAACGAGCAAGCACCCCAAATAAAAAAAGTAAAAGTAAACCCAGGTTCACAGAAGTCGAAGGAGCAACCGCAGCAGAAGGGCAGCAGCAACTTCAGCAACAGCAGCAGCAGCCACAGCAGCAGCAGCCACAGCAGCAGCAGCCACAGCAGCAGCAGCCACAGCAGCAGCGGCCACAGCAGCAGCAGCCACAGCAGCAGCAGCAGCACCCAGCGACCCGCGAACAGCTGCAGCAGCAAATGGAGTACCAGCATTACCTGCAGCAGATGCAGCTCCAGATGCAGCGCCTGCAGCAGCAACAACGCGATGAAAAAATCAAACATATTCCACCCGCCCGCCAGGACCCTGCCAGCTGGTGGACGAGACCCAGAAGAGGGACAGCATAAACTGATACAGCAGCATATTGCAACTGTAGCGCCAACAGTTGCAGCAGCAGCAGGAGCAGCAACAGCTGCTGCTGCTTATCCAATGCCTCATCAGGCCTCATGAGCTGCTACGGCAGCAACTGTGCTGCGGGCAGCAGCTGCTGGTGCTGCTGTTTCCTTAACTACTGACAGCATCACCAGCTACGAAACTTTCTTTCATGCGTTTTTCTACCCCCTATGTTCGTGATCTCTGTTGTTTTTCTTCTAAAGGAGTTTGTATTTTTAGCATTAAGAAGTGAAGTGTTGTTCGTATCAATGTAGGAAATGACGAATATGTGTTTCTGCCTCCACCACTAAAAACTTTAATTCGAGGCCAGAGAGGAGCTGCAGCAAACGTTCAACAGCCATGGGTTCGTTCATAGAAAAAAGTAAAAATGACAGCCTCTATGGAGCTGTTGCAATACATAGACTAAAAAGCATGCGGATGGTGTACAGACAGCTGAACAGCATCCATTCCCTCCCATGCATGTTGCATGCTGCGAGAACATTTTGTCAAAGCATCGCCAAGGATATCGCGTTAAATTTTACAGTGCCAGCTGCAGCTCGTCTTGCTGTCGCAGCTGCTGCTCGCCAGCTTGTAGGTAGCAGCAACAGCAGCAGCAACAGCAGCACCAGCTGCTGCCGGGGAGCAGCAGCAGCTGCTGCTCACCTGGGCTATTATAGCGCAGCCAATAAATAGTAATATGAACTGTATCTACACTGCAGTGTATCCAGATCTGCACACCGAGTATAAAAGAAGTGTAGATACACCGCAGTGTATGTACAGAGAGGCAGCAACTGCAAATGGGGTGTACGTACATCAGGACCATTTCGCAAATACACATACGGACGAGCATGTGTATTTGTTCGATTGACATTCAGGTCAATAAATACAATAATATATAACATATATGTAAATCTACATAATTATATACAATTATATAATTATACTAATGAAATTCAACAAATATAACAAACCACCCACGAGAGGTCACACCCCTAAACCCTAAAAAAGCTCGAACCCTCAACTCTTCTGGCTTCTTTCCTGCTTCCCTCTGTGCATCAGCAGCAGCAGCAGGTGCAGCAGCAGCATAAGTTGCTGCAGCAAGTGCATTTGCTTGTGCACGCAATCGGCATGATATATTTTAGTGTTTGTATTTGTGGTTATTAAATACAAGTATTATTTTTCGGATTATTTTATTTCCCTGGTGTCTATACACCTCAGATGGTTTAAACCTCTGTGATAAGTTCATCTATTTCGTTGCGTTTTGTTGCTGCTGCTGCTGTGTATTCATGTTCAGGGCCGCAGAGTATATACAGCAGATTATATGCATCTTCAAAATGCCTTCCAGCTAAACGTAAACGGCTATCAGCAAACGGCTTTCCCTTCGCCTGTATCCGCGACCACAGAACATCCCCCATCTCCTCGTACAGCCAAGCAAGAGAATACGAAGGCAGAGGCAACACCTGAAAAAAAAAAAACAAAAAAAAACAAAATAAAACAAAAAAAGTGATAGAAAACAATTGAGCTTCACTCCCAGCAGCAGCTAATGCCACTTCAGTAGCAGCTGCAGCAACAGCAGCAGCAACAGCAACAGCAGCGACGACAGCAGCAGCAACAAAAGCAGCAGCAGCAGCAGCAGCCACAGCATTGCCTCACTGAAGTAACATATTCCAGGCGGTGCATCTGGTGTACGTACGCCGACTCATAGTCGCCTGCAGCTCGGTAGCCCTCAAACAAGATGGTGTCGAGCTGCACCCCAACAAACACAACCACAGGCCTAAACCCTAAACCCTAAACCCTAGACCCTAAACCCTAAAGTATAAATTGGGGTTGTTGTGTGTTGTTGTTTTTACCTGAAATAGAATCCAGTGTTTTGTGAATACCCTCGATGCCTGTTCATATACCATCTCTGCATCACGCATATCTTCTTTGTTTGTCTCGTCAAGCCGCTCAGCATAAGCTGTTTCAAATGTTATATATTTCTCCACTGTCTCCGCATCCGCCACAGTACCGCATACAGTGCATGCATTGGGTGTTGTCTCCTGAGCAAGCAAAAAAAAAAAACAAACCCTAAACCCTCATCACAAACCCTAAACCCTAAACCCTCCATCTTAAACCCTAATCACCATTCATAAACCCAATACCCTAAACATAACACAGACCATCCCTCCTAAACCCAAAACCCTAAACACACTAAAAATAATCGATTCTAAACCCTTGAATTTTACTTCTTCTGCTCCTACAAATATGAATATAAATATGAACCCAAACATAAACATGAATATAAATATAAATATAATATTGGGGTGTACATACATCATCTTCAGTCTTGAATGCCATTGTGCCTGTACCGCAAGTAGGGCAGCGGAATCCTCTGGCGGGATCTCGGGTGTCTAGGCACCTATTGCATGAGCATGTAAACAACCATCCAGAGAGTTTTTCTCTTCTTATATTAGTACTTTTAAGAAGGTCTTCATCGCCTATATAACTAATAGTTATTTCATCTCCTGCTTGTAGTGCAACCCTTGCCTTCAATACAAAAGCCTCATCGGCACCGTAGTGCCAGCAAGCAGTAGCATCACAACTATGAGCAATCATAGAAATACGATTGTATAGAACAAGTCCTTGTGTTTCTGTATGATGGCCGAAACTATTATATCTCCATACTTGTAATAAACGTTGATATAATTGTATATCTATTGTATGCTGCAGTGCTGTACATACACGTAATACATCTTCTCCTGCTTCTGCATCAGGGTCAGGTACCCACTTATCTAGACAAATTCTTAAGCCTTCTTCATCTAATAATAATAAAGAACAAAGAGCAGCTAGGTGCCATATAGGAGGCAAAGATAAAGGGCTTTCTTCATTCAGTTGGGTTAATAGAGACCATAGCTCGGGGCTCAGAGAAGGAACTGCAACCAATACAGGAGATTCAACAAATATCACTTCTCCTGGTGATAAAGATTTTCGGGTGTATAGACACCTCCCCTTTCCTTCTACATGTCGGACCTGTACACGACGCCCAATCTCGGCGAGGGTAAAGGGAGCTAGAGAGTTTTCATCAACGATATGTTCTTCTTCTCCTTCAGCAGCAGCAGCAGCAGCANGCGTACCCCGCACCCTCTTCTTCTTCTTCTTCTGCTTCTTCTGCTTCTCCTGCTTCATAGCCCTCATACCCTTCTTCATAAGCTGGCTCTTCTGCAGCCTCTCCCTCATCTTCTTCGTGTCTGTACACCCCATCATACACCCCAGCCTCGTCCTCCTCCCCCCACTCCTTCAGGTCCTCTTCTGTGTAGCCATTGATATGGTCTACTCTTTCTCCTTCTGTTTCCTTCTCTGCATACTCCCCTTCAGAGAAATAATCTTCAGCTGCTGCTGCTTCTCCATGTTCTGCTGCTGCATAGTCTGCTGCTGCAGCACCCGCTGCTGCGTCAGCAGGGTAGCTGTAGCCAGTGCTGCTCGCAGCCCGAGCCCAGCCGTCCTCTGTGAAGGTCACCTCTTCTCGCTTGGAGGAAGAGGGGGAGCGAACAGAACCACGCAGCAGACGCTTCATGGTGCTGTCTGATGCTGCTGCTGCTGCTGCTGCTGCTGCAGGTGGGCTGGGGTGCTGCTGCTGCTGCAACAACACTGCAGCCGCCTAGGAGAGAGACTTATACAGATACACCGCAAATCTCTGCTGCAAATGCTTCGGAAAAAGGAAAAAGAAGACCAAACTTCAAAAGTCAGAGACGCAAAAGGAAGAGAGAGCAGAGAGAAAGAGGAACACAGAGAGAGAGAGGGCGACTCAGCCGCCCGCGCCGGCTCGGCCTGCTGAAGAAGACGCAGCAAGTGAGGTGTATGTACACTTAAAATCTCAGCTCCAAATTCCCCATGAAGCAAAATAAACTTAAAAAATTAACAAAGAACAACAGACAATGCCAACAGGACCAAGGGCATACCCGACAAGGAAGCCGCTCGATGTATGGCGAGCTGCCCGAGGCCAGCGGTCTTAGGGTTTAGGGTTTAGGGTTTAGGGTTTAGGGTTGAGTTTCGCGGCTACAACCCCCTCCCTCACTCTACAGATAAACATAAAAGCTTCACAAATCACAAAATATCATTCATCTCGAGACGAAGGACAGGCGGAGATGAACACAAAACCGCACAGCCTAAATATTCAAACCCTGCACGCGGCGACTCTCTTGCGTGTGCTGATATGAGTGTTTCGGTCTATAAAACCCCCAGAAGAAGTAAAACCCAGAGAATAATATATCATTATAAACCGCATGAAAAATCCAATTTAAATAGAATATTAAAATGTGCTGATCTGCATGCCTTCTCCGTTTTTACTTCTCCTTTACTGTAGGGGTTGCGGTGTACCGACAGCTGAAATACAGCGGTGAGCGGAAGAGGAAAGCTGTGCTCGTTGTGGCGACATGAAGAATAGAAGGAATGAAGCGACAAAACAAATAAATTTATGTTCAAGTTTTGTTTTAAAGAATCTTTCTTTTGGTTTTGTTGTGTAGTAGGGCCCCGACTAGAATGGCTGCTGCACTGGTTGTGTCGGGCTGCAGCAGATAGAGTACCTGCTAGGGTTTTTGCCTCGTTTCCCCTCTTTTCTTTCATTCAACTGTCTTTTATGTTTACTCTCTTTCTCGCTTTTCTCTCTCTCTCCCCTTTTTCGGCACCCCCCCGCCGCTGTCTTCTCTCCCCGTTGCTGCAGCGTACAGACGGATATTCATCTTCTGCTTCTTGGGGGCCCCTAGAGAGCGTGGGGGGGCCCTCGACCTGTTCTGTGGCTCTCCGCGTTTCAGAGGGGCCCCCCAAAGNATAGGTGGGTGGGTTTGTTGTTGTCGTTTCATCTGGTGTTGTTTGAGTTTGTGCTCTCTTGTAAGTGCAGAGTACTGGTGTTTTGAGTGTTCAATTTTAGGGTTTAGGGTTTAGGGTTTAGGGTTTAGGATGGTGTTTCCCCCCGGGGGCACCCCTACTTTTGGGGAGGCGCTGGGGTCCTGCCTCGAGTACCATGGGGGCTCTCTCGAGGTCAATATGTCGCTGGCGATGATATGCGTCGACGCATGCGCCTCAAGCAGAGACAACAGCCGCTATCTGCTGCTGGAGGCCGCCAGCAAGCTGCGACAAGGAACAGATCCAGAGGGAATGTACAGAGCTCTAGATGTAGGGTTTAGGGTTTAGGGTTTAGGGTTTAGGGTTTACGGGTTGGGGTTTAGGCCTAGGGTTTAGGGTTTAGGGAGCAACGGGGTCTCTAGAAGAGCTGATGGGGTTGAGTTGCCACAACTCTTAAATTCGGGTTTAGGGTTTAGGGTCTAGGGTCTAGGGTTTAGGGTTTAGGGTTTAGGGTTTGGTGTTTGCTGCAGCTGGTGGAGATATGCGTTAAGAACAATGGCATTGATTTCGCTCGGCATATAGATGACTACTTCTTGCGTTCGATGGCAAAAATCCTCAAGCTCGTATGCAAACCCTAAACCCTAAACCCTAAACCCTAAACCCTAGTTGCTGGAAACATGCCTGGACCTCCTAAACCCTAAACCCTCGGCATTTTGCGGGTGTGCAGACAACCTTCAAGCGTTCGCTCACGAAGGATGTCAAGGAGAAGATAAACAAAATAATAGGAGGGTGAGTGGGGACCCTAGGGTTTAGAATCTAGGGTTTAGGGTTTGGGGTTTAGGGTTTAGCGTTCGAAGGCGACGGCTTAGGGTTTGGTATTCACAGCATACGGTTTAGGGTTTGAAATTCAGAGCCTAGGGTTTAGAGCTTGTGGTTTAGGGTCTAGGGTTTAGTGTTTGGGGTGCGGGGTTGAGGGTTTAGGGTTTGGATTTCAGGGTTTAGGGTTTAGGGTTTAGGGTTTTGGAGTGTACGTGCAGGCCCTTTGTACATCCTGGCGTAGCAACAGATCCAAGGATCCACGTGAGCTCTGCTGCTCTGAAGTATGAGGGTTTAGGGTTTCGTGCGTGGGAATTAGGGTTTAGGGCTTAGGGTTTGGGTTCCAGGGTTTAGGGTTTAGGGTTTAGGGTTTAGAGCTTGATTTGCCTGTGTGCAGAAACTCAAGCGGAAGGTCTTGTTTATGTTTCAGCTCTGGCATGGTGAGGGTTGCACTGCCCTTCGTCCATAAATTAGGGTTTAGGGTCTGGGATTCAGGGTTTAGGGTTTAGGGTTTAGGTTCTAGGGTCTAGGGTTTAGGGTTTAGGGTTTAGGGTTTGCTCTGTATTTCTTCTCAGACTCCTTCGTCCTGCAACAGGAGAGATGCCCAGCCATCTTCAATATGTACCGAAAGCTTCGGAGCAAGGGTAAGTTGCATCTAGGGTTTAGGGTTTAGGGTTTAGGGTTCGAGGGTTTATTAGGGTTTAGGGTTTAGGGTTTGAGGGTTTATTAGGGTTTAGGGTTTGTATGTATGCTGTCAGGCGTGGAGTTCCCTCAAGTCGACCGATCGCAGAAGTATCTGGTGAAGAATGCAGAAGTAAACCCTAAACCCCAAACCCTAAACCCTAAACCCTAAACCCTCAAACCCGTATAAATGATTACTGTTTTCTTGTCTGTATACATATTGTTTGTGTTTTATTTTTTTTAATTTATTTGTTTGTTTTTGTTGTTTTTGTTTTATACTTTTGCTGCTGCTGTCTCTCTGCTCTCTCTAGGAATCCCCAGCCTTTGACATCGCTCCCCCGCCGCCCCCCGTCTCCTCCCGCCCCACAACTCGATCCCAGGCGGGATCGTCTAGGCAGCAGGAGACAGTGCCTGTGGAGCAGCTGGTGGGTGTTTCTCCCCCTCTTGCTGTTTTTTTTTTTCTGTCTCTTTTGTCTCTCTCCGTATCTCCTTTTGTGTTTCTCTTTTTCTCTCTCCCTCTCTGTCTCTTATTCTGTCCTTTTGTCTCTCTTTTTCTCTCCTCCCTCTATATTTATTTTTAGTCTCTGTGTCTGTTTCTCTCTGCCTTTATTTATACTTCTGTTCCTATGTATATGCAAGTATATCTATATTTTTACGTGTATACATTTATGTGTGTATATTTATGTTTACACCTGTATATATATATATATATATATATATATATATATATATATATATATATATATATATNTATATTTATATTTATATTTATATTTATATTTATATTTATATTTATATTTATATTTATATTTATATATATACATATTTATATTTATATAAATATATATTTTTTTTTGTATAGGTTAGTAGCATTCGTCGTTCTCTATCTGTATTGGGGTCTTCGGGGGCCCCCTACTCAGACCGAGTTGAGGCGTACATACACCTGGAGAGGTCGCGGGGGCCCCTTGCTTCTTGGCTTCAGTCTTTGTCATCGACAGACGGAGATATAAATAAAAATATATCTTCTCTTTCTGCTGGTTTAGAGCTAGCAGATGAGGTAGATAGATATCTAGCAAAGGGAAACCCTAAACCCTCGTCATCTATAAACCCTAAACCCTCGTCAGCAAACACAGACCCTAAACCCTCATCGTCTGGAGACAAAAGAGGAAACAAGCCGCACCAAGAACCCCTCAGCCTGCTAGACTTCACTCTAGGGGATACAACACCTGCTCCACCTGCTGCGGCTCCTCCTGCTGCTGCTGCTGCTCCTCCTGCTGCTGCTGCTGCTGCTGCTGCATCTACCCAGTCGGGCTTCTTCGGGGCACCAGCACCTCCTCCGCTGCTGCCCCCGCCTCCAGCATTCCAGCCAGCAGTACCTGCAGCAACACCAGCAGCAGCAGCAGCAGGAGCAGCAGGAGCAGCAGGACTCCGTCCGCCTCCTCCTGCTGCTGCTGCTGCTCCTGCTGCTGCTGCAGCTGACGTGATAGGAGGGGGAGGAGGGGGGGCCCCCGGGGAAGACCCCTGGGCG